TTCTCTTAAAAGCTGAGGGATTAATTCACTGAAATTCACATTGCAATATTATTACGGGTATTTCTTGTTGAAAACTTTAGTACCCATATCTGGCTTTCATCCTGTATTTATCTACTTACAGAACCATATAATCATTTAATGAAATAATATCAAACAAAACTTTGGGCATGTACTAAAGGATTATAGGAAGTGCAGCATTATGGCCTGTGGCCTTCTGGGGCTCAGTTAGAGAACCACACTGAGATCTCAGAAAAGAACAAGGATACAAATGAGCCACAATTCAAATGGATATTCACATAAACACTTACCATGAGGTTAAGAAGTTGGGAAGGGCTTGTGGTGGAGTCTAGTGTTAACGAAACAGAAATGTGTGTAGAATAATTGTGAAAGTAGGACCTTGAAGAGGATGATGTATCCTGGGTGTTGTGTGAGAGACTTTCCTGAGGAGATGCAACACACACGTCTACTTACCCCAGAAATGGAACCCAAATAGATAAAGTAACATGTGCACCAAAACCCACCTTGCTGTTTTTATTGGGGTTCATAACAGCAGTATGGCTGAGGGGTTGCTTACAGAAGCATGAACTACTGACAGCCCCATCCATGGAAAGTCCTTCCCAGCACTGGTAATGGCACAACAACAGTAACCAGGAGCTCTATGAATTTGCAGGCAGCTGAACAAGCGTAGAATCTTTCCTTTCTGCCGCTCGGCTGGTCAGAGCTTCCCTCCCTACCAGGTGTTCACTTAGTTGGGAAGGGCATTTAATACTGAACCTCTTTTCACTTTTCCGGACTTGTGACTCTGTTTCCTTCCTGAGTGTCTTGTGCCTCCACCTCCCTCCTAGAGGGAATATTTTAGTCCAGAAGAAATTCTGTACAACACTGTGATCATAAAGGTGTTATTTTTTTCAGAAGAAACATTTTTCTAAGAGGTGAGCTTATTCAAGTGTGACTTTGATGTGAGGGAATTGCATTGAATTTTTGAATTCCATTTGGGATAGGTTAGACATGAAACTCATTGATTCTTTCCTACTTTGTATTTTGGTGTATCTATTATGCAAAAGTTGAAAATATTTTCCTTGTACAATTTGATACATTTTGTCACATATCTAGAATACATTCTCTTGTAAAGTGTAACTGTGTTCATGGACCAACTCCATGTTTCCCATAAACCCTGAGAACACCTATTCTATTTCTACCTATAAAAGATCTACTTTTTTCAAAACTCACTTAGGTGGAATCACAAAGTGCAAGCTGTTTAGTTCAGCATACCTTCTTCCACATCTATTAAGATCTTTCTGTCCATGCTATTACCATAGACTGGCAAGCAGATCTAGGACTAAGAAAGTGAGATGGATATTTTTCTTATAAAATTTAAAAAGAAATATTGGAGAACATTTGTCAAAACATAAAATAATATTCAATATTTTCTTGCTATTCATTGACATAATTTGAGACAATCATTCTAATACATTGTGCAATTATTTTGGATTGACTTAAAAAGTTGTAAATTTTTTTTACTTTTTTAAAGTTTGCTTTCTTAGCATATATTAGTCATGTGTAATAATATATAGGCTATATTTGAGGGCCTGGAGACACATCTCAGCGGTTAAGAGTGTTGGCTGTTCTTACAGAAGACCTAGGTTCAGTTCCCAGCACCCACATGGCAACTGACAATTGTCTGTAACTGCAGTTCCAGGAGATCCAACGCCTTCTTCAGACAGGCATTTCATCACCTGGAGGCACTCATAGACATTCAGACAAAACACTTACACACATAAATAAAAATAATAAATAAAATATTAAGAAAGAAGGTATTTTGATAGTTTTCAATACTGTTTTCCCTTGTTTCCTCTCCCTACTACTACTAACCCCTTTCCTTTTCCCAGTTAGCCCCATTTTACTTTCACATCTACTTTTTTATTGATCCAAACATCTTAACGTGCTTACTTACAGGAACATGGTTAAGGACTTATTTACAAAAATATGATCACTTTATCAGGGTTTATGTTACTGAAGAAAAAGTCTTTCCCTCTCCCAGCAATCATTAACTGCCTATGGCATCTCAGGGAGTGATGGGGATTTCTGAGCTTTTACTCCATGGCAACATTTCCCTACAAATCCTCAAGAAGGGGCTGGGTCTTGTGAGCCCCTCTCTCCTCCATAATGGAATGCTGACAGGCCTAAGTTTTCACTGGTCATGTGCAGTCAGTGACAGCTATCTAGAGTTTAAGATGTTATGACCATGTCATGCCTGAGTGGAAGAGAGCATCCCATAATATTCCATCCCTTCCTTCAGCTTTTTAAGCCTTTTATTCTCTTTCACAATGTGACACTCTAACGTATTTTGTAAGGTTTTTTTCCAAATTGCTAAATATACCTTTTAAGCTTTAAAAGATTAAACTTAGAAGCAGAATAAATAATAAACCTTATGAAAGACACTGCCATCAATAATGATCGAACTGTGGGATTAGACATAGGATACAAGGTAAGATAATTTTATACCCTTGGCAAGCACTCACTGCTACAATGTGTGATGAAGCTGTCTGAGTGGACTTCAGAGGGAAGGGGAATGTGTGGAAATTCATTGCTTGTGTTTGTAACTGAAAGGTCTTTGAAGCCTGGAAAGAAAGTTGAGACTTAAAAATGTTTCTGGAAGGAGAAGCATCGAGGATGAAGACAAGACCACAGCAATGAACCAGAACCATAAAGATTATTGGACCTACTCCACCTAGGAAGACCTGCAACTTCCTTTCCTAGTGTGACTTAGTAGTTACCAAAATTATATCTATATTGATATAATTTATTATATAATCATCTTAATTACATTTAGCTCTTTTGTTGTTCTTAGACCCAATAGCTAATCCAAATATTAACCTATAGATACATTGTAGTGTCATCTAACTCTTTATACACATTTTTGAGCATGAGAAAGAGTCTGTCACGGATTCCCAATGTTTATTCTATGCTTCATCTTGAGTAATACTTGTCCTGAGCCTTAGTTTGACACACTGCTATGTAGATTACTACAGAATTTCTCATTATTCTTAAAGCTAGATTTTACTAGGAGACTAAGCCCTTCTGAAAGAATATAGGGGGAGGTGAGTCCTCCCACCCTACACAGAACTGCTTACCTCTGGGGGCATCCCCTTCTCTGTCCTTTACTTTTGATGGTGGCCACGTGATGCAGGTCGAGGATATACCTGGATACATTATTCAGAACCAAACATGGTCACTGAATAGGAATAGTAGAGCAGTGATTGAAAAGGTGTGTGTGCATGTGTGTGTGTGTGTGTGTGTGTGTGTGTGTGTGTGTGTGATGTGAGATGAATGATTATACCACCCCTGAATCATCTTTTGGCTGAATGTAGTATGGTATGTGTATGGGCATAGGTCTATGCATAACAGTTAGATGGATTATAGACAGATAGATGATAGATAGATAGAAACAGAGAAAGATAAACCCACCCAGGATAGGTATAGAATGTAGAAAGAAATTCTATCTTAAGTCCTCACTTGTGACAACTGTTGGTCTTTGAAAAGGATAGTTATATATTGTGAGTCCAAGAAAACAACTCAGATGCAATTCCATTACATCTCTCCTCCCTCCTGTGAATTACACTTCAGAGTGACTAGCCCCTCATTTCTTTGGCCAAAATCTTCAATTTCCAAAAGGTAATTTCCTAAAGTTAGCACCATTAATACCATTCTGTACATTAACCATTAATACTACCTGGCTAGCCTGCAAGGAACTTGGACTCTGCATACCTCACAAAAATCCTACCTATGAGAGAAGTTTACTCTGACCTTTCTTCTCTGACAGCAAACTTCTCGACTCATTCTGAAATAAACCTGCTCCTACCACCATCCAACTGCCTCTCATTTTAATTTTTCTAACTATACAAATGAGGAACTGTTTTCTTCTGGAAATTAAAATACTTGCCTGAGATAAATACTCTGTGTAGAAATATATAATCCACACCACAGTGCCTAGTAGTAGAATTCATTTACTTTTTTTTTTCTTTTGCAATCATTACCATGCTGGTGAAAGGTATTATATAAAGGTATTAGATAAAAATTACACATGCATTTTTATTTTTTCTTTTCAATGACTCTCTTCAAAGGTCTTTAATATCTCTTGTTTGTGGTAGAAATTCCTATTTTTAAAACTATCTGATATCTATGCTAATAATTTAATATTGGGATTTTCACAAATTCTCAAAATTATCATGTATATTTGAAATATTTATCTATTATAAATATATTTTTACATTTTCAATGCATAAGTAAATATTTAGTAACAAAATGAAAAGTTATTTCTATGTAGCACCCATTAAAATGGAAACAAATTAGCATGTTTGTATCTAGAGAAATAAAAACCACATAGACCTTTCAAAGCAGATCCAAACAATATAGAGGCAATATTTACATTTATGTGTGCTTTCCATTAGTGTGCATATATGTGTCACATAACATGTATGCTCATTTGTGGATGAATAATCACATCTGGATATTTATACTCAATAAAGAAATCAGGTATAAAGCAATTTTTAGTATAGGAAAAAGTCTGTGCTCTTCTGAAAATCAGAGTTATAGAATGAGATGACCTGACAAGGCATTGGAGTTCCCTGTCACATGTTTTAAAGAAAGCTGATGGTAAAGTCTACAGTGTTTTGCTCCTGTTAGGAGAGAGATGCTTTTTCAGATGCAGTATAACAAGGTTCACATGTTCATGATGTGTGAAGAGAAATAAGGAATGAAGTGCTATTCCTCTGGGCAGAGTCTAACAAGCCGGGCAAGGAAAGCATGGTGTTAGATGGCGATGTTCTTGCTTACCTAACATGCCTTTCTGGAGAATTTAAAGTTTAGCAGGAGCAGAAAGAAACTGCAAGTTACCTTGTAGAATAGATCCCCAATACCTAATCCATAGAAACCTGAGAAGCTATACTAGGGGGAGATAAGATAATTCACAAACATTTGGGAAAGAAAAATGTTTCTTTTCATAAGAACCTTTTTTCAAGAAACTTATTTAGAGCAACTTTGACATCTTTATTCCTCAGGCTGTAGATCAGGGGGTTCAGCATGGGCACGATAATGGTGTAAAACACAGATGACACTTTCCCTTGGTCCATGGAGCTGACTGAGGATGGCTGCAGGTACATGAATGCAGCTGAACCAAAGAACAAAGAAACAGCAGAGATGTGTGAGCTGCAGGTGTTGAAGGCTTTGGATCTGCCCTTAGTGGATTTGATGCGGAGGATGCTGGCAATGATGAAGATGTAAGAGCTGAGGATGTTCAGTGTTGGGAAAAGGATATTAAAAGCACTAAAACACAGAACTACTGTTTCATTGATAAAAATACTGGAGCAGGAAAGTTCTAATAGTGGAAAAAGATCACAGAAGTAGTGGTTTATAATATCAGCTTTACAGAAATGCACTCTTCGCATGCAGAGTGTGTGGGCCGTGGCACCAATCAGTCCCATACTATATACTTCAAATAACATCCAGGAACACACTTCATAGGACATTGTAACACTGTAAAGCAGGGGTTTACAGATGGCCACATAGCGATCAAATGCCATTGCAGATAACATGTGACACTCAGCTATCACAAAAATAAGAAAGAAGTAGAGCTGAGTCAGGCATTCCGGGTAGGTGATGACATTCTTCTCTCTCACAAAGTTCACCAGCATTTTGGGGGTAATGACTGTGGAATAACAGAGGTCAATGAAGGACAGACTGCTGAGGAAGAAGTACATGGGGGTGTGCAGGTGGGAGCTGAGCAGGATCAGGATGATCATGCCCAGGTTCCCCAGCACTGTGAGCGCGTAGATTCCGAGGAAGAGCAGGAAGAGGGGCAGCTGCAGCTCAGGTTTGTCTGTCAACCCAGCGAGGACGAACTCAGTCACTGTGGAGTGATTTCCTGCTAACATTATCTTCTTGGAATTTTACATAGGAAGAGAAGAATATGGATTAGATGTATACTGTTACCACATGACATGGTGGGAAGCAGAATTCAAGCAGTTTCAGTCTTGTTTCTCCAATTTTCTGATAGCCACTCTCATGTTATCAGTGTAAGACATTAGAATGTCCAGAGTAATGAATATGTAATTAAATATAAAGGTGTATTTTTTTCTACTTGTGATCTATACTATGAGAATAGGCTAATACCCAATCCCTAAATCACAAAAGAAGAAATCAGATGAATTTAATGTTTTCCAAGGACTTCTCAAGTGTTATTTGTAATTTTTCCAATCTTTATAAAGAGAAAATATTTTTCCATTTTACAGTGACAGGAATACACACACACACACACACATACACACACACAAACACACACACACACACACACACAACTCACTACACATGGGACTGCAGAAATGGTGGTTGTTCTTGCAGAGGACCTGGGTTTGGTTCCCAGCACCCACCCGCATGGTGGCTAATAACTATCTGTAACTCAAGTTCTAGGGCATCAATTGGCGTCTTCTAGCCTCTGCCTGCATTTCATGGCATCAGTGAACTTACAGGCAAACACACATATAGACACATGCACACACACTAAAATAAAAATTTTAAAACCACCACACACATACGCATCAAACTCTACACTTAACACTGATGGTTGAAAGGCTTTCTCCACAAGCTAGTGAACAACATTACACCCCATACTTGCTGTTTTTTTTTTATTAAATATTGTAATTGTGGTTCATGGTGCATTCAGGCAAGAAAATTAACTGAAAAAGCATCTAAATTGGAATGTAAGTACTAAAATTATCTCTATATGTAAGTGTATTGATAGTGTATATATGCAATTCTAAGAAATTCATAAGAAAGAATTTGTGAAAATAATTCTAAAGGTCACAAAGGAGATTATTCTTAAGATCGACAAGAAAACTCAGCAACCATAGAAATTCATCTGCAATATCATAAAACACTTAATAATTTGAATGAGAGAAATAAAGCCATTGCACTTGAAAGCAAAAACACTGTTGACAATATAAAGCCTTACATAAATAGAAGCATCACTCATGGCATTAATCACAAGATTCTTGTTTGTAAGAAATGGTAATACTTCCGAATTGGATCTAGAAGTTCAATGAAATTCTTATAACAATGCTGGATTTTTTTCTTTCAGATAATCAGATGCTGATCATTAAATCTCCAGAAAATGTAATGGACTTGGAATACTTGGAAGAAACTTGAAGGGGAAGACTGAAATTAGAGGTCTCATATTTTTTCCTTTTAAAAACTTATTACAGTGTTTAAGTACGCTCATGATATAGATGTGCAGGCAAATTGAAGGAAACTGTCAAGCAATAAATAAACCTACACCTCTGAATAATTAAATATACTTGGTAATAATTCAGTACAGAAGAAATATTTTATGACAGGTTGATAATTGGATTAAGCTACCTGTGAATGAATTAACATGCAACAGTTTTTCACACCATTGTCAGATAAAATGAAAATGGAGAGTTAAATAAAGCTTAAGTGGTGTAAAAAGCCAGAGAGAAATATATTAATTCAACCCCCCTCTGAAAAATATGCATACAATATCTGAACATAGGTGCATGTGTATACCTAAAAGCTATATAACAAGGAACACAGTACCAGACAGGAGAAACTTCCCTTTGAGTTGTTGGTCAAGATATTACAAGAGAGTCTCAAAATAACTCAGGCTGTTGTCACAGATCTTGATTACCTCCCAGATCTTGATGGTAAGACTCTATTGTTGAAGACAGGACAGACTTCAGACACAGGACTTGGAGCAATGAAGTTGGAACTGACCTGGAAGTCTTTTTCCAGAAGCTAGATCTCATAGTTCTAAAGGATACTATGTAAGCTGCTAAGGTAGAAAAATCAATCAATGGTCCAGCCCAATTGTAAAGCCTAATAACGACAACATCTGATACATCAAACTATTTCTATTGATGCAGTAGTGGCATTTTTATCTAGGGGTTAATCAACAGCTATTTAATTGGACTTAAAACTGATTGCTGTTAGTTGAGGAACAGCTGACCTTCCTAAGACAAAGACCTCTAGATAGGCTGACTAGATTCACCAGATGGACAAGTAGTGGGGAACGGCTGGAGGTGCTGACAACACAGTGGACAGTAGCAGGGATGACAGAGTATAAGGGCTCTAGTGGGGGTTGGGAGGCTATGGGAGGATGTCAGGGAAGTAGATGTATAAATGAATAAGATTGTGTGGTATGTTCTGTATGAAATACACACAGAAAAATCAACAAATTTACAAAAAGACATATTTGAGGAGGAAGCATAAAAATTTATGTTGTGTTAATTAGTAGAGGTGATAAACATTACCATTGAAATCTACCCAATGACTTTATAGACATACACAGGTGCCAAGGATCCAAGTGCAACTGATTATGACTAGTAATAATCAGATACATACATAATAGAGATGCATGCGCCAACATCTTAGTGTTAGTAGTAAAAATAATGAGTCTTTCTGTAAGAAACAGTATATTTTTAAATGAAATGGAGATCTTTTTTAAAGGTTAAAAACTCATTCAATTTTATGTCTTACAGGGCTTATACTGAGTTCAATATTGTATAACTGTATTAATTCAACAGCGAACCTAAAAAGTTTATAGTCACTTTTAAAAGATCTGTATCTTTGTTCTGGAAACTGTTATTAAGTATATTAAAGCTGTAATCATATGCTTCTTCTAAAAAATAATATTAAAAATGTAGGAAACAGCTATTTTAAAATGAAATGGAGATCTTCTTTAAAGGGTAAAAACTCATTCAATTTTATATCTTACAGGGTTTATACTGAGTTCAATATTGTATAACTGTATTAATTGAACTGTGAACATAAATATTTACAGACACTTTTGAAAGAGATGTATCCTTTCATCTCTTAGCTCTGGAAATTGTTATTGAATATGTCAATGATGTTGTGATGAAATGTTTCTTCTAATTATGTGGTTATTAAATAAATAATTTAAAAAACCCTTAACTCATGGTGACACTGCAAATATAGCCAAATACAAATAGTTGATCTCTAGACAAATGAAACTTCTAACTGTATACTAAATATGTATCCTCATATTTACAGACAAGTATATTAGTCTGTCACCACTCATCAAAGAATCTTCTTTCACAACAGATGAGCCCATTACTGAGTTCCACAACAGGTCACACACAATGAATATATGTCTGAGAGATTCCTAGCCCTAAGTGACACATCTATAGTGGAACCTCAACACTTAAGACTCATGGAACATTAGCAGAACAGGGCTAGAGAGAACACCAATACATCCTTCAACTCTCACCAACAAAGCTTCCTCAGACAACAGAGTGTGATGCACACAGGAGGCCACAATTGGTCAAGTTTTAGAGGATAAGAGCGTGCAGAGTGCAAGTCCATGCATAGGACTCCTATATTAAACCTTACCACCCATAGCCAAAGGTTAATGTTGCTATGAAAATAAGTTCATTGTTGTATATGGATTCCTAACAGGATGGGTTCAACATCTAATAAACATGCTCCTGTTCTTCTTTTCCAACCTGGAATTTTCCACTCTGTAGGTGTGACCATTGTGGTTACCTTTTGTAATATGTGAGTAGAATCATTCAGTATTTTCCTTTAGTGACCATTTTGTTTCATTTAGCATATTGTCATCCAGATTTTTTCATGTTTTTGAAAACTGAAATATCCATTTGAAGAAGGAAAAACAAATTACATTAGTTTAAAAATATTACTTAGGCTCAAAGTAGACATGGGTGATTGGGTAAGACACCCCACTCAACCTAAGAAATGATTGTCAATGGACGGCTGGCTGCAGGGACGGCAAAGCCAATCTCTTTCAAGGATGTGATTCTTAGTAGGTTAACCAGGCTCCAGTGAGTGGACCTGCACTGAAGGACATTTGGGGACACAAACTAGACTCTGTGGTCCTTATTCTGTATATAATAGATGACACTCTCCCAGGACAGTAAGGGAGGTACAAATAGGGGAAAGTATCTAAATACCTTCAAATTATGTTGTATGAAAGTTGCAAAAATTCAACAAAAAGTTTAAAAATGCAATGATGATTCAGAACCATTATGAAAGCACCACATCACTACTTTTTACTTTCTCATTATTTTTATATTTGTAATTAATTAGTGGTATACCATATAAAGAAATGCAATGCCTCATGAAATTATCATTATTTATGTCACTATTCTTTGCTCTCATTTGTTTCCCACCCACACTGAACACTATTCCCCTGTGTTATGTTGATAATTCTCTCCAAGTAATCTTATGCAAATGATACAATTGCACCTCATACCTGAACATAGAGGACAATAGCTCACAATTATACAAACTCAGTGAACTTCTAAAGACTAATCATAGAGTTTAAAATGTTTAAATTTTTTTCTTTAGTCTTTATATTTCATTTATCTTGTAAAATACAGTCTAGAAAATGTATATATTATACAGGGAATTGTATCATATTTTTTGAAATTTATAGTGAATGCGTGATCATGATGCTTAAAGACATTTTGTGTAATCTGTGAATGTGATTCTATAAACATTTGGTAGCGATAAACAGAAAGGCTACTGTGGGCATTCAGGAAAGAGAGATGTATGATGCAGAAGAATCCTTCAGGATGTTTCACTCTAGAAGTAGATGGAGAGGTTGACTATGGGAGAAACATTGAGATTGGGCAGGCCACAGAATCACAGCTGTTACTGTGCTAGCTCATGGCAACAGTGAAGAAGGCATTAAACAAATTTTAGATACATTTATTTTATTTTATGTGTATGAGTGTTTTGCCTGCATACATGTAAGTGTATCTGTGTTGTGCAATACCTGTGGCGGTCAGGAGAGGATGTTGTATCTCCTGAAACTGAGGTTATGAATGGTTGATAGATGCCATATAGGTGCTTGGAACTAAACTCGGGTCACTGAAAGAGCAGTCAGTTC